CATCAATATCAATTCTAACATGTCAGCCCCTGCTATCACAGTTTTTAAAGCTAAAGTCATCCGAACGAAATTTGCTGAACCATCATTGGCACTTACAAACATTCAAAATATTTCCATAAACTTCTTTGATATTTTTTGTGGCAACAGAGGCATTGTTTCCCTTCTTGTATTCAAACAGCATTACATGCCGAATGTGTGTCTCGTCATGTGCCATCACTACATGGGATTAGAGTATACTAAACTTTACACATTATATAGGCTACAGTAATGTGATGTTTAGGCAGTTCGTTTAACTATTATATGTGGTTGTGGGGCGTGGTTAATGAAAGTGTTCCAAAACGCATGACATTAATTTCTTGACGACCTAATAAACGCTAAATTTTTTTTCTCTCATTGCTGTTCCAAACTTGTTCACATTACTGAAAACATGTTATTAAATTTCTGATTTCTATGCTTATGATAATGATGAAAAACTACTATAAAAACAAAAACTGTTTAAAGGTGACATATAAGGTTTAGATTAGTTATTAACTTCAGAATTTTTTAAATTATCAGAATATAAATATTAAAATTGTTTCCAGATTCCTCTAACATTTTCTTATTTATATATGTTTGTAAGACATTGATCTTAATTATTATATACATTCCCAATAATTTAAACTTACTTATAGGCCCACAATTTGTTCAATACCCCTTGGTCACAGTAGTAGGTTACCATAGTTGGATCATGCACACCTTCTTGTTTATTAAAGCTTACACTTACTATGTTTATATATTATATATGTTATACAAAATACTTGTGATTTTAAATGTCACATTGTGCACGTAGTTGGATCTTAATTTTGTACCATTTCTGTTGTTACTTGGGCTGTTGATCAAATGGTCTAAGACACTTTTCCATTGAACATACTTTGCAGTTTTGGATATTAGCACATTATGAAAGTGACAATGTTGTGCTATTTAATTAAAAGGAAAAAAAAGCCCTTGCAGCATAGTTCAAAATGAGGGATGGATAAATCTAAGCCTTAACTAGGGTTCTCTGACCTGGAGGATTAAACCATTTAAGCATAAGGTGCCATTCAGGTTAAAAATTTCAATTCCCTTATTACTTTGTTATTGTATGTCATTGTGACAGGAATGTAATGATTATAGACATTAAACTTTACAATATATTGTGTACACACTTATTTTTGAAAATATCCTAACAACTAATCAAGAAATTTCTTTTTTCATTATTAAGGAATATTTATGTTCAATAATGATATTAACATCTTATAAAATGACTGAAAAAGAAATAACTGAAATGACAGCTACAACCATAAGACTGTTCAATTCTTTTAGATGTTACAATTTCACCTTCCACCATTTTCTTCTTTTTGCTTCAGAGTAAATTATCATCTGGATTTAAAATATTTTTTACCCTTTTTTACACCTGTACTACTTGCACTAATCCACACATAAAAGCAACCTCCTTCTTCTTAACATATTCTATGTGATTTATTGATTTCTTCCATTGTTTGCCAGAATATTAGGTCCACCAAAATTTCCATTCATACGGTTTACTATGACTTAATACAAGATTACTAAAGAGCCTACATAATTTTTAAATCTAATTTCTTAGGAATATATCATATTGTTATAAACTACATTTATAATGTTCTAACTAGTTTAATTTAGATGTTTACTTGAGGGTGCATGACATTAAGATCAAGCAAGTCCTAGAAATATTTAGAACAAGTGTAGATTGTCAAGACAACATTCCATGAAGCATTGAGAGTTTAGTTAAAAAGTTAGTTGAAAGACAGTCAAGGATATAACAGAGAGAGTAGTTAGTTGAAGAAAGTTACTTTCAAGATAGAGAGTTGAATGAGTCAGTGTTTTCATGAAATATTTGGATCTGTGTTTGCTATTCTACTTATTGAGTTACTTTATATGAGGTAGTTCATTTATTTTACATTAGTTAATATCATTTGTAATGTTGGCCTACAACAACTTACCATAGCGTACAAGTGTTCAAACTTGTAGAAATGTTAAAGGAGAAAATAATTTATTATTGTTACGTGGACTGGACATTGAAATACTTTCTCGAGATAAATTAAGAGAACTCACTAACAAAAGAATATTATAACAACATTAATTTTCTGTTATTAGTGGCAATTTTATAGATATATATTTTTAACATTCATAAGTAGCAATATTTTATTCTATTAAGGCTGGAGTTTCAAACGTTTTTATTACTAAGTATTAAAACTGTATTGAAGAACAGTTTTATAGGACCTTGAGTGCCAAAGTAACTCCCACTAAGAATTTTAGTATCCTGCAGTTTAAGTAACATATGTCACCTCTCCTGTAGTATTTGGGCATGTTGGGAAAGTTGATTGTGCTTTTTGTTCCAAACTCCCGACACTACTCAGTGTCAGGAGGAATAGCCTCACATGCCATAGGTCTGTAGCCCCTAAATTAAGGATACTAATACTGGAGCTCTAGCAACAGCAGAGATAGAGTGATTGTGTTATAGTTCTGAATGAAATATGAAAGAACTACTTAAACAATGTAGTTTTTTTAATTCAAGTAGAATCTTTTTCTTTTATTTGTTTGTTATTTAGGGATTGTGCACCAAAACTAATGGTTGAAGAAATATTTCAGGAATAATTATCCTTGGATTGTGATGGTTTTCCAAGTATAACAAAACTTCTGTTTTTTGTTTACATTACTAAAATTAATTAAATGAAGAATGCCATATTTTCCTATGAAGTATATTGGTGGTAATTGCTTAAAATATACAACATATGTATTCAGATGTGTACAAATAAACTGGAAATTGTAAAAGACATTTTGCTTTTAGACCATTCCTGATTGTATTAACACATTCAATTAAGAAAGACGTCATTTAATTTGCAAACTATAACAAATAAATCAGTAAAAAGTATACATTACAACCTTTACTAACTCTGTTTTGTTTAAGCACTTAAACTTTTAATCACAAGATTCGCTCACCAAGGTTTATCATTCTAAAAAGTCTTGCAGAAGTTTGAGGGGGGGGGGCTGACAACAACAATTTCAACCTTTTATTTATGATAAAATGTGTCATTTATTTTAACTGTAGTTTGAAATATTTACATTTGGCTTAGCTGTATAAATAGTGATTTGTTCATTTTTATAGCTGATGTGCTAAATAGCTAAATGACATGTGAGAGGGGTAGAGCAGTTTTATAACAAAAAATTAGATGTGGTATTAAAACTATATTTACTTTTACATGAAAACCTGGAACATAAGTTAACTAATCTGAACCATAAAAAATAGTCCTTTTTCTACACGTCATCTTTCACTTATATTCTTTGAACCTGAACTTGAAATTTACCTGAAAAGGAAAAGAAAATGAACATATTTTACAAGTAACAAAAGTACCTTATGATACATTGAACTTTTTCCATTTTGATAAAAGTATGTTTTTTCAGATGTATTGCTCGTTAAGTTTTTATTCAAAGATATGTAGCATAATTGAAACTTATGCTCATGAAAATTTGCTTTGATATAAAAACTGAAGTTTATCAGTTGTAATAAACATATATTGTTTCAAGATCTACCTTAAAATTATTATTAAAAATTTCAATAAGTAAATAACAGGAAAGAAAAGACCAAATGGAAGTAACACTTCATTTGACTTTCACTATTTGAAATTAGGTACTTACAAGCTGGAGGAGAGGAAACTTCAGCAGTGACAACACACTTAATATCCAAGTTTGACAATGCTCCACGTATAACTCCACATGAGAAAGCTAAATACTGAAACATATATGTTTCATTATCTTCCAAGCCAACTAAAAGGTTTAACAGTAACATATTTTCATTCATTTTTTTTTAGCAAGCCAAAATTACATAAGATTCAAAATAGATAGAAAGCCATTTATTACAACCTTTGTTAAAATGTTTTACACATACATCAGTAAAGCAACAGTATCTATCAATTGAATTGAAAGATAGGATTTTGACTTGGTATTACATTATATATATTATATAAATCTACCTGTGAAATTAATGCTGGTTATCAGGTTTAAGACCAGTAAACATAATGAAAGACCACCACAGTTATTATTAAAGTAGTGATTGTACAATGACAGTTTAATTTTTCAAGCAAAATCTGCCCCAAAATCCTAAGAATTCAGCTTCTTTGATCATATGTTGTGCAACAACACACTATTCTCAATCATGCATGTTTTCATAAGCCTCATGTAAGTGCCTGTCTCCTTATATATATATAAAGAGCCACTGTAGTACAATATCATGTGAAATTTGAGAAATGGGCCATTTGATAGGTGTGTGGCATTTCTATTGTCAAAACAGTCATGAGTGTGTTATGTCACCATGTATATCATATTTCTCAGTGTATCTACACAATTGTTTCTGAATGTGAATGGAAATGATAGTTACTAAGTATGTTAAGAAGTGTCAACCTGGCTTAAAAGTATAAACTTTTTTGGTATTTGTATGCAGAATATGTGGAAGAGTTTTACAATAGACTGTAGGTCAGAGAAAAAATGAATATCTGCAAGTACTAAATATTCTTTGGTGAAGTATACAATGCAAAAACAAAACAGAAACAGAAGCAATTACATTATCTGAGATATTAGAAATATCAAGTAATTCTTATAAAGATACAGATAACACAGTTAAAGTATGAAATTCCTGAATGAACTATAAAGGTTCCTTTCATGAGAGCATATAATGCAATCTGTGATACATTAAGTAATTTTGCATAAATATGAATTGTATGCCTAACACTATCCAAACTTGTACTTCCTTCCTCCTTGTAGTTACTTAAATATTCAGATAATTTTTGGCTCAATGATTTATAGGACTTAATTTCTGATACACCTGTACTCTGAAAAATACATTTTTTACAATAAGTATAAGTTATTGTAATTAAGGACTTAAATTGTAGTTTTACTAAAATAATTTTAATTATTTGTCTTAAATTGTAAAATAACAGTTTTTTTTTTAAGTTTTAGTTTCACATTTATTTGTTGACAACCTAATGATGCTGCAACTTATATAATCTGTGTAGTGACCTCTAATGATGAAATAATAAATTAATTACATTTTTCAAAAGTTTTTGATATTGTAAATTGTGAAGTTCAATAATTACTTTTCTCTAGCATGATTAACGCAAGAGTCATGTTACGGATTGTATAACAAATACAAATTTTGTGTCATAATGTAAAGTGCTAAAAATGTTTTTCTCTACATTAGTCTACTATTCGTGTTGTTAATAAGGCTAGCACTATAGCATGGTACCAATTAAGTGGACCAGTGTGTTTAGCAATGCAAACCAGTAAAACTTCTAAGATACTGGGCAACAGTTAACCAGCAAATTAAAACATAATTTCACACAGTGCATAGTATTAAACGCAAGTGAAAAAAGTATTAAAAAAAATGAAAGTGTAGGAGTGGATGCACTAAAAAGTGAGGAAACAAGATAGGAATGGGCATGATGTGATGAAATTTCCTCTGTACAACCTCACAAGAGGGTGACTACAACATCCACTCCATGTATACAATAAGCCAGGTGGACTAAACTTATCAAACTTAGTTATGCTTACCATACAATGACTAGAGGTTTCTGTGAATCAAATTATTGGAAGCAATACATGCACTGTAAAGCCTGTTTATATAACACCAGAAGAATCAGATATCCATGTGGACTCATAACTTGTATGTTTTTTTTTTCTTTACAACTTGCCCCTCCTTTTGCAATTGCATGAGAAGACAATGGGATTTTGTACATTAGCTTTATAGTTGGATTAAAATACAAAGGTAAACAAATCTAAGAGGTTTCTGTGTATCAACACTATGGATTCATTAATGTCTATACAAATTAGAAAAATCATAGACACACACTTTTGTATTCACCCATAAGGATATCTTGAAAAAAGTGTACAAATGAACAGTTAATGGTGAGAACTGTGTTTGACTAAGTTTGTGTCTTATTCTTTTTATAGTTTTCAAATGCAAGTATTTGAAATATCAAGCTTATATTTTAAGTTGACCTTACCTAGTTTTTAATAACATTATCTTCTGTGACAGAAACTTTAGTAAAATAATTTTTGTTATTTATTAGAACTTTGCTATCATAAATTTTATGTTAATACAAGTATGATAAAAAATTTTTAATTTTATAAAAACAGGTAAAAGTCCATATATATGTAACCTAGTTAGCTATAGTAATATAGAAAGTTTTAATGCTACAAAAAGTATTTAAACAAGAAAGTCAAACTACAAAAACTGAGTTACTTAAAATGTAAAAGATTTTTAAAATTTTAAGTAATTCAGTTTTTGTAGTTTTGGATTTCTTGTTCAATACTTTTTGTAGTATTAATACTTTCTATATTACTATAGCTAGCTAGGTTATGTATATATCAATCCTTACTTATCTTTATAAAATTGAAAATTTTTTTATTAGCTATAATTTTGTGCATCAACAATACCAAGCATGGGGCCTACATATACCCAATTCAATTTTATTACTCATCAGGATCTCTACCAACCTATCCTAAAATCTAATTATATGCCCAAAGTAGCACATCATCCATTTCATGTATATATATATATACATACTAGTATCCTTTTCATACAAGAAAGGAATCGTTGGGACCTAGGACAGAAGAGTAATGTGAAAGAATTAGAGTGATAAGGTTCTTAATTTTTTATGGAAAAGTCACTTACTTACTTACTTAGGTGAAAATTCATTCAAATAGTGAAATTTGATTCACTTCACAAACACGTATATAGTGACTTAGGTGGCTTTATAAGTACAATAAGCTTTAGTTTTGCTCAGCCAATACTGTGAAATAGTCATTGTTAATATTCAGACAATTTAAAGGTGGTTTTAAATGGGCAATTTTTATGGCTGACATTTTGTTTTGTCACAATCCCTACTATTAAGTACTGCCATACTTAATTATAAGATGATACTAAACTTAAAAAACAACAACTACCATTTATAAACTCCTCAGGTTGAGTTAGTTGAGTCAGTTTGATGAATAAATAGTACAGCCATAGAGTTTTGGAGCCAAAAAATTTGTGTTATGTTCATATATGTTATATACAATCTTGAAGCATTTCCTTAAGACATGTATATATATATATATATATTTCCAGCTTACTTAAAGAATTAACACATTCTTCATAAGAAACCATATTAAATAATAATTTGATTGCAGATGTAAAATGCTTTATAATCATAACACTATTCAAATGTAATGAATGCCATAAGTTTTATATCTCTAATATCATAGTAATGCATAAAAACAAAGTGCAGTTATCTTAAATGACATCATTAAAATAACCTATGATTGGAAGATTTACAGTAAATAATACCAATAATGATATACTTCACAGGTGTGTATTCTAACATTCAATTACCTTACACGTTGATTCAACATACTGTTTGGATTGGGAAAGTTGAGTAAGAAATCTGAAACTGTTGTCTTGAAGAACATAAACTCCCTGTAAAAATTGAGTAAATAGTTAGAACATTTCTGAAACCAAACAAAAAAAGTAAATAAATAGAAATTAAACTTTTATTGTACTTTACTCATTTAAAAAGTATCAATAACTGCTATATTAAAATATTCCTTATGCAACTGTATTCAAAATAATGTTAATATTCTTTTATTCTATATGCAACAGCCAATATTTTAATAGTTAGATTCACTGAAAAGATGTAAAATATTTTGAATATACCTTTATATATGATCCTCATTATACATTTTTATGTGACACTCAAAGAAATGCATTTTGATTACCTGATGGTTGGTCCTTAAATTATCAATCTGTTTTTTGTACATCCATAACCAAAGCTCCTTACAGATGAACTTCATTGTGTCCAATTCATCCTTAAACCTAGGCCAGTCTTTGGTCAACCTGGAGAATGACATATGTTTGTCTATATTTATGTAATATAAACATAGTCTGTTGATAAAAAGCTTGAGGATATTTATGTTATTATTAACAGATGATATCTGTAAAAGCATTCAAATTCTTGTAACATATATAACAAGTAATAAAAGACATTTTGTAAACATTAAATGATGTAGGGATGGCAGTGCCAAAAGGAATGCAAACAAGAATATAGGAATGATACAGTTATATATAGATCATCACTACATGACTTTCAATATTAAAATTTAATGTTACACTGTAAAATGAATCAGTAAAAAATGGTTATGAGAGTAGTGAGAGTCTGTAATAATCAAGCCATGTTTTGACTTAAGTTGGTTTTCCTTGTATGTAAGTCCTAGGCTCTTAACTATACTTCGTTTGTGCTTAACCTGACACGACCATGATATTATGATAAACAAACTGCATACCAACAGTCAGGAATTTATAATTTCCAACTGCAGTAATATTAAAGTCAAGTATGCATATAAAAAGGATAACTTCATAGGATAATGATAACAACAGAATTTTTTTTTAAATTACTACTAAGTGATGGCATCATACACTGCCCAGAAGCACATAAAGTAGATTTAGGTTTAAACTGACAATACTGATAAAATAGTTGTAGAATTATCACGACTAAAACAAGAATAAGAAAGATGAACAATTTGGTGGGTTGGTCACTTTCTGGTTTGGTATCTTAGCGATTGTTTCTTCCTTTGTTTATGGGCTTGTTGGGTAAGGAAACAAGTGAAAGTGAGTGGCAATCATCTTTTAAAGTAAACTCTCCATCATTGTTGATTTGTAGCTTGCATATTTGTTTTATGCCTATCGAGTATTTTGGCCATCCTTACATATGGAGTCTACCGACTCTATGATACTACATCATTATGATAAATCAAACCCTTCTACAAGTTTATAACTTCAAACATAAATGTAATTCTGTCAAGAAAAAGAAAAATGTGGATCTGGGCTTCAACCTTATCATCCCAGCTGAGGTGATTCCTAAATGTATACAGCACTAATATATCAATGTTAGTTTCAATTATCTCAAACACTAGATTCCCAGGAATGGTTTATTTAAATATTATATACAGAACACAAAACATAATTCAGATAGATTGGATGACTTTTATATGCTGAATGGTAGTAAAACAGTGTTTTATAATACTACAAGTTACTAAAGCTAATTATTATAACACCATACACGTAGAGAAGACTGCTAAAAGTAGTAAGTGGTTATTAACATACATGCAAGGTATTGTTACGACAGCAGAAGTCACGTGATGAGTTTCTAGAAGGATCATGAAGGCCCGAGTGCATTTGAGATGCCCTCTTTTTTAATATATAAGCCTGGCGAGTAAAACCAGCATGATAGGCAGATAAATAGAAGAGATATAGATAGATTGAAGATAGAGATAATTGAGTCAAGCGAACAGTAGGCACCGTAAGTAAAGTGTGTGAATCACTATGATTTATAGCGTGTGTTATAAAGGTTGTTAAGTTTAAAGTGACTGTGGAAATTCGGTATATTACAAAGCTGTATCGAGAAAGAATAAACTAGTTTTAATTAAGGAAAGAATTTATGCCGGAAATTAACAAACGACCAGATACGTAACAGTATTATATGATTTATATACAACAGTGATATTGAGTGACATTTATACATGGATGATTATTTGTCAAATTTGCTAAATTGGTTCCTCACACAATGTTCCAAGCATCTAACAGCTTTGAGCACTTGAATCAAAGCACTTCTAGATCTTCTATGAACCAAAGAATACAAATCCACAATTTAAGGTTTTTAGGTATTTGAAATTGTCAGGGATTTAGAAAATATACTTATGGGTGGCAGAAGGAAGAGACTGGAAAAGGTAACTTTATTATTCAGATTAATAAGAGTAAGACATGTAAAATGGTTTGAGGTTTTACTTGCTATTAGTTTAAATGCTTTTGAAAGTTAATTATATAACATACATATGTGAAGAAATAGGTTTGGCTTGATTGGTTGTTTTGGTAGGTAATGGTTTGAATTTAATGAGTTAAGTGACCTTTTATTACCTTGATCTTTTTTATATTCTTAACTAAAATAATTTAAACATATGGAGTTTCAATAAAGTCACTAAGGCCACAGATCTAGCTAGCTTACCAGGTCTTCTACAAGTAAATCCTCTAATCGATTATTCAATCTTTGGACCCTTCTTAAAATTTCCTGCCCATACTGTCCTCGGGACCCAGGAATAAACTATAAGACAATTTCTAATTACATATTTGTAAGACTTCTTTAATATACTACTATTAAAAACTGTTTGATCCAATATGTACTTAAAAATTAACAATCTTCTACATTACTGCTACTAACCTATCTACCATCTCATTGACATCCTAAAAATCTAGCATATGGTGAGGCAACATCCAGATCAAGTTTCCTTTGCCTTTTACAGATACAAACCTTTCAGTTTATTTTATGAAAACATCAAAACTTTTTCCTTCTCTACATACATTACAAAATTATGGATCAGACCCAGAGGTTTTCTATTTCCTTGAATATTTTGCAAAGGATATGAAATCTCAGTAACTACCTTAACAGAGCTCCTTTAACAAGTCAGGGGTCCTGGTCAAAACACTGTCTAACTAAATTCACTACATATTTACATCAGTGGAATCCTGAAGAACACATCAATATGATCTTAAAACTAGCCTTTCTAGAATGAGGTAAGAAGTTCATGATATTTTCTCTGGCTAACACATTATAAGGCAGTTTCTATTTCTTTGGTATAATTTTCCTCTGTGTGTTTATTAAAACAGATGCAATAAACCAAAATATTCCACATTATTATAACACAACATATAAATAATGGATAATTTGGTCCTTCAGGACTGTCAATACATCTACCTCCAAGAAAAAAAAAAAGTGAAAATTAAACCCATCCAACAACTGCAGCCTTGTCTCTCTTTTCCACAGCATAAATTTGTGTTCTATTGTCTTCAGAAGTCAACACATTGAAATCAGATATGTTTAACCTATTGATCCAGCCCAAAGATAATCTTGTAAATTTCAATAAAATCACTTCTAACCCTTCTTTTCTCAAGAAAATATAAGTTAACAGATCTTAACCTATTCCTGTAAGATAACCTTTCCATCCCTAGAATTATCTTAGTAGCCTTCATCTGAATATTTTCCAAAGTCAAGATTTTTCTTAGGTAAGGAAACCAAAACTTAGTGATTTATCTACCACTATGCTGAAATCCTTTTCTTCATTCATGCTACTTAGTTGGTCCATCTATGTTAAACATGTGATCCAAATGATTACAATCAAAATGTGTTACCTTGCACTTACTGTATTAAAGGTCATTTGCCAACTGTTTATCCAACTTACCAACTGAGTTAATTCAGTCTTTCTGTAATTCAAAATTCTCAATACAGTTAGAAATACCCATGCAACAGTTTTATGACATCAGTAAACTTTACTAATTATTTTCATTTCAATATCATTAACAAAAATAACAAAATGCAAAAGCTCATACACTGACCCCTATAATAAAAACTTTTTCCATGTCAAACACATACAAAGAACAAATGATGAAAAACACAGAAAATGGAATTATGAAATAAAATGTTTCTATAAACAAACATACACTGGACAAACTGGAAACCTATTTGAGACAAGAATAAAAGAACATAACAACTGCACAAGACTGACAAATACATAGTATTCTGCTCTGACAAAACATGCCATGTTAAGAAAACATAACAAAGGTCCACTTTGACAGAAATCCATCAATAACAACTTTTTGCCTTCTCTCATCAAGTGACCCTTCAAGGAAATTAACTAATCTTCTTCCCAACTCCCACCATTGTAGCTTTCTTACTCAGTTTTCTGCATGACACCTTATCTGAAAACTTTTGGAAATGTACAAGTAAGCTAGTACACTAAGTTCACACTTGTACCATCATTCAAGTAACAAAAACACCCTTAAGTTAAATAATAAGTAAGGCAATGTTTCCCTTGAGTGAAGCCATGTTGGAAATGTACTTGTAAGTTAGTATACAAAGTCCAAACCTTTGGATCATTCAAATACAAACATTTTCAAAAATGGTTAACTAACAAGTAAGGCAAGGTTTCCCTTGAGTAAAGATGTGTTGACTCTCATTTATGATATCATATTTCATTAAATTATTACACAAGGTATCTTTCAATCAAAAACTTGCTAAGCCTAACTCACAGCTTTCATTACATTTCACATTTATGACAAACTGAACAATTTGTTGTATTACACTTTCTTTTGATTCAGATTATTCCTGAATGTAGTCCAAAATATATGAATTTCTACTAATTACCTTTCTACTAGACGATAGCCAGTGTAGAAACCAATCTGCTCAAGCTTAGACATAGTAGATTTCTAGATGAGAAGTATGAAAACAAAATATTAATACATTTCAAATCTGATTATGCTTGACTAACCATATTTTTTACTAGAACAAACCAATATTATATAATTGTTCCTATGTTAAAATATATTTTAATCTGTTTAGACAATATCTGGTAAAACCATCAATCATATACCATAAATAAATTATATATAGTGGAGTTAAGTTACAATTAAAAAAGTATTATTGCCATAAATGTTACCCATGGTGGTAATTTGTACTTTCTAATATTCATGTAACTGTAGGAATACTGTACTGTTTGAAATGCTATAAAACGTATTTGAAACAGAAATTATTAAATATTTATTCAAAATCATTACAGTTAAGCGTGAAAATTAAACACTTGTTACTGTTTTGAATGGCAATAGAGTACAAACATTTTACAAAAGTAACAAAATGTCTGCTCCATTAATGTTTACAATTTATTAAACAAAATGCAGTATAAATAAATTATCATTTTACTAAGTAATCACCTTTCACTTTTTAAATAAAAAGCATCTCATTCTATGTAGTATTTGAAAATTTTTTAGCTCACCCAAAACACAAGCTGATCACAAACTTGTTAAATATTGTCTAATAAATATTTAATTGGTCATAATACAGTAGCATTAATTTACAAAATAAACCACTTATTTTTTGTATGACTTAACAAGCTGCGTTGAAGAAAACAAGTTTAATTTTTCCTGTAAGATTCTTCTACATCTACTTCTCACCACCATACTGATTCTCAACCAACTGCTAGATATTCTCCTCCTCTTCTATAAATGTGAAAATTTCATCAAAAGAGTCAATATCCAGACTCCTTTTGAAGTTGACAAGTCAAAAGTGGAACATGCAGAAGCTTGGCTTCCAGTCTGAGGTTCTTTGGCCATGTTCTTGAGATTGTTTGTTACATCTATATTAATTAGAATGCCAGTTCTTTCTGAAGCAAGTATGTTGTATTACAGCTTTCTCTGAAGTAAGTCTGTTGTAGTCTAGTTTTCTTAGGAGTTTGTTGTGCTTCTTTAACTGCACAAATCCATATGTACTGAAGAGCTGTTCAGTTACTGCAGAAGGTAAAGAGACACTGAGGATAGTGACAGCTATCTTGCTTAGTGGAGATGGTTCACACATATTCTACCATATCAGAACACTTCCATTTTTCAAATATTTCCACACAAATGGTTTGGCTCACAGACATTTCTTGTTCATATATTAATCCATGTTAGACAGTACTTCTCTCTATTCAACATCAGACTTAATTTCTTGACATCCCATATATGAAATGCTCCATTGAAACCTTTTGGGTAGACTTGTATATGCACAGGACCTGGAATTATGTGGCCACATGAACTGAAAGAAGTGAAAGATCCTTATGTTTTATGAAGGAATCAAGGATTTACTTGTTTTTAGAGGTGATGACAGAGAAGTATATACCTTAGTCTTCAACTGCTTTTCAGGATCATTAAAAAATAGGAAAGGAAAAAAAAAAGAAAGAGATAAATTTAAGTTATAATAAGTACGTATAGTATAAGAAAGTAAGTAGTAAAGTAACTAACTTAAAGTTAAAAGTAAAAA